CTGTTGTTTGCAAAGGTTCAATTATAATAATAATAAAAAAAAAGAAATTTTATAAAAATAAACTATTGTCGAGCCTGCAATAATTATTAACGTGTAAATTGGTTTAGGTTTTACGCATACGGCTTTAAATTACATTTAATTTCGATGTAAATAATTTTTTATATCGTTAAAACTTCAAACCGGTCTCATTCGATTAGTCGATGAGTCATGACTTTGGTCTTTTTGAACGACTGCTGCAGAGTGGAATATACTTAACACAATATACCTATACGTCTTATAATAATATTATTATACGTTATACGCACAATGATGGGTAGTAGTGTGTGATTCGTATTTCGTATATTATACGACGATGGTAAAAAATAACGGAGACGCATTCCCGTGTACACTTGATGTATACCTATAGTTTTTGATTATTTCCACCGCAATAATGTTATAGTATTAATATTTAATACTACATTAATAAAAATATAAAATTGTTTTGCACTTGATATACGTATATCATACGAATAAGTATAGGTAAGGTGTATAATTGTATGAGACCATATAAGCGAACACACAAATCGCATTTAGTTAGTTGTAGGTAACATTTTTTTCTAGGTAAGTAAAAATACTTTATAATGCCTAATTAAGTACCTATGTATACTTATACGTTAATATAATGGATATATCTTTAAACTAAAATCATTATACTATTTTAAAAACCGTGTACCTAAACATCGGTTGAACATTACAATCTAATGAAATCCTTTAAATTGTATTGTTGATAATAAAGTTAAAGCTTTTAATTTCCATACAATCGCTCATACACGTCTTTGCCTGTATACATATTATATAAAATACGGATTAATTCCATAAAAGGCTGATACTGCTTATGTAGGTGTGCTGGGTGTACAACTACTTTAAGAGGAAAGAGCGGATTTATAAGATAACTAAATTTATATCTGTACGTAATGATAAACCATTACTAACGAAAACCTATTCTGAACAAAATATTATTTTACGTGTTTTATTTTCTCCCGTTGTCATCAATAGGTAATCAACAAAAATTCTACGAAAAATTGTCACTTTTTTCCAGTTATCCGGAAAACTGCAAAGGAAATCAAAAAAATAACCAGCTCAATATACCAACTGGATCAAAAACACCATGGGAAAGCTCCTGTATAAAGGTTTTGATTTAGGCAATATTACTGGTAGAAAAGTTGTTGGTATACAGACTCGCGCCCAAAAACAAAAAAACATCGTAGTAAAACCGATACATTCCTCGCTTGGCTCGGAATGTTAAAAAAAAAAAAAAAAAGATAAACGATTCATAATATACTTTTCGTTTATGATTATTATAAAAAAAAAATAAAACGTTCACGACTCTTTTCATGCCGTCTCCGAATCGCAGATGTTATTGTTTCAGTTCACATCGTATATATATATAGGACCACGAGGAGCCGAACTATATAATAATAATATTATGCTGATGGTGATGATGATGGTGGCCGTGTATTGAATTACTCCCCGGCATCATATAGTTTGGAGAAAAATATTCAAACCGAATCGTATTATACTTGCGCATATGATATGCATGTGTGTACACCACACACCGCTGTATACAATATAATAGTGTCGTACCTACACGTGTTACAGCGCCGCTGTATTAAAGGAAAAAAACTTTCCTTAGAAAAAAATAAACGGACGTACATAATAATATGACGGTATGTGTTCGTATACGTATATAATATTCGTATATGCGTTTCAAAACTGCAGTATATTATTACGTACGTTAAGACAAACAATAATACGCAGACTGTCAAGCCCCTAAATACATTCATGTACCAATAATATGCCTGCCTATAACAGCTATACCTGTACCACCAGAGCTCGTACATTTTCGTTTCGAGAAATAACGACCTCGTTTTTCTTTTCTTCGATACATATTATATCTCTGCGCGTAGCGTATAGGCAGTACTGTCGATTTGTCTGAATTTTTTTTTTTTTTTTTTTTTTTTTTTTTTTCTTACCCTGTCGTCGTTGTTATTCTTGTTGTTCTAAACAACAATTCATTATTGTTCTTGTCCCCGGCAGCGCCTCGATCGGATAGATGAAAGACGTGCCACGTATATTAATATTTATGAAGAGACTGACGAGAGCTGATGCGCGGCAATATCAACGGCCGGCCGAAGATGGCTTGTGCAGCAGCAGCAGCTACTGTTCGCCACGAACGATATTCAGTATAAATAATACAATATTAAAACGCACACTGCGTATACTGTATATAGGTACCTACCTAACTTTCGTATTCAACCATGTTTGTTGCAATTCGCAGTGCATAATATAATGGTGCGGGTATACACTATACGTAGTGCATTAGATTTCCCCTCGTTATAACTACACATATTCTGTTAAAGTGTTTGAGGTCTGAGATGTATCGCGAAATTGTGAAATATTGATATTTTTCGCTTTTGAGCGCAGCGAGGAATGCATCGGTTTTACTATATCGGGGCTTGGTTTAAAGAAATAAAGGCCTCGTGCACCGTTTACTTTGGAACGTGTTTTAAATTAAAAAAATTAATTTAAATCAAAATAAATTTAAAAAAAAGTCTCTTCAAACGTTAATTGTTTTATGATTGATTGATTGAATCATTGACATGATTGATTGCCAGTAATGACGAATAGTTCAGTTTTTTTTGTGAAGAACACATTCAAGTTCTTATATTCGTTTCAGCGCAGAAAATAATACATACCTAATATAATTAAATAAAAAAATATGTTTAAATTCTGTTCTATAATAATTGCTTAATATTCAATACTATCTATATCTACATCTACCTAAAATATCTTTAAAGAATACAATTTTTTTTATATAGAATGGGAAGGAAATTTAAGAGCCCTGTGCTCGTACACCGCATGCACAGACGTAAATCAGGGTCTGTTTAATATGATGCGTTTTTGTTTGTGTGTCTGTTTACCTTTATTGAAAGAAAATTTTATCAAACCGTTGCATTAGGGAATTAGGTAAATTTTTAGTTTTCTTTGACGTTTTCATAATTGGGAATAAGTTGGGAAAAGTTAACGGAAATAACGGTTTCATTATTTTCTGTTGAAAATCATCGTAGAGACCTGGAATTTTCACAAAATACGTATGTTGGTCTTTTCCTAGACGCGGTCGAATTTTCAAAACATACTGAAGATTTTTGAGCTATAATCAGAAATTGACATTTTCGATTTTATTAGTTTTTATTTGGTTTTATTGTGGATAATTATAACATTATTATTATGGCCGTGCAGAAATGCCTGACAATTCCATACGAGGTTCATCATACATATTGTACTTAATTGTAAAAACTTAATAAAAATAATGTAATAGTTTTTTTTTTATAAACATATGGTTCAAAATTGTTTTTATTAATTCGGTCTTATTACTTTATAATTATGTTTTATTATATTATATAGGTATTAATTATTGATATGAACAAGATGACCACCGTGATCTCATTATGTATGTAATTAATTAGTATTTATTATTCTTTAATTTACATTTTGATTAACTTCATTTAAAAAAACTGACATATTTTGCATGATAGGTGGGCTACTGTTGTAGGTGAAAAGTTGAGAAGGTATAGGATATAGAGGGGAATTTAATTTGTATATGTACACAAAGACAGACAAACCATTGCTAACGAAAAAGAATCAAAGCAATTTCTTTTATACATGTACGTACATTTTTTTGTTTTTCCCAATTATTATGAAAACCGCTTGGAAAATCAAAAAAATACCTCCCTAAAGTACCACCTAGTTAAAATTTCTTTTCGGAAAAAGTATACTACACTTGAACATCGACACTTCATAAATGAGATAAAACTTTTCAAACTAGTGAAATATATTAATCATATGACAGGTATTATTTTCCCTGTAGCTTATAGAAAAAAAAAAATTAAATCAAAATTGAGATATTTCGTGCAATTTCCTAACGCTAGTTACCTAACGTACCTATCCGTATATAGTCGACGAATAGAAATACAATTTCAAACATAAATTAATCTTTATTAGTGGCTATATAGGTACTATAATAGGTAGGTACCAACTTAGGTAAGTTCTTGTTTTTATAATTGAGTAGAGAATAGCTACACAAACATATTATACAGCTCTTAGTGTCCGTATTAATTATATTTAATATTTTAATTTCGTGAAACGATGGTACAAAAGAAAAATAATAACACGACGCGCGTATACCTATGTGCACGTAAAACCAGTCGAAAACTGACTAATACGGTCTTATTAAAACCGTACAGGAATACCTGGCTGCTATATTATAATTTCTTCGGTCATACTACATTATACTCACGGTTATTATTACGACTTCGAATCTTTACCAACACAAAATATTTATATGTTTATTGCGTATAGTATAACGCTGCATTTTTAAAAATCAAACCAGTTTTATAATACCGTGCATTTAAATGCTTTATGTAAATATATCATCGTACGTACATAATATTATGTAAAATATTATAATTTAGTGATAATGATAAATTAACACAAATGTTAGACTTAATAATATATATAAGTGGGCATAGAAGACGCGGAGAATTCGATAATACGCATGACGGTAAAGTGTTGATACACGCGGCGTATCTATATTATAAATTATATGTTGGTCACACTGTGTAAGTTTAAAATGCCATCATCATTAGCTATATATTAATGTTATCGCAAGTAGGTATAAATATTATTTTCCAACACAATAAATATGAAATTAATTTTAATTGGAAATAATAAGAATAATTTCGTAATACAGATAGATATCTAACCAGAAAAAAAAAATAGTAATATAATAAATAAACCTGAAGGGTCATTTTTCACGGGTCTGGTTATTGATCAAACGAACTGCTGCACACACATAAACCAAATCATATAATAAACAAGCTTTAATAACCGATATAGTCTATGGAACAAAAATATAAAAAAAAATCCGCGAACGCATATTATATTTTACGCGTGCAATAACTATGCCAAGTAAACGTGAAAAATCTACTGTTCCTAGCGAAGAACTAATAAAAAGCATAAACGAAATAAAAAAGAAAATTCAACTCTCTGGTAAGTACATTGATATTATGACGTTATATTACACTCGGCATTAGCAAATAACTTTAGATATTCATTCGATTATTATTGGCGATAGACATAAATAATATTATATTAGGGCAAATATTTATACGCCCTGAAAACCTTTATATACGGCTGTAAATATGCACAAGAAAATAATACCAATAGTAGACACAAGTACCAAAATATGTTCTTAAAATATGGTTTAAAAAAAAATTTTTCAAAAATTGTATTATATTATAATAATACCTACTTGAGAGCGACACATTTATAAATAATATGTTATCTAAAAAACCTACCACTGTCATCAGCCTGCTGAAATTTATGAATCTTGAACAATGTTATTTTGTATTTCGTTGAGTTGAAAATGGCCTAAAAATATACAAAATCCTAAAATATACTCTAAAAGTCCAAAAACGCCAAACTAGGCTAAATAAAATGTGTTTATGGTTTAATTTAAAATGTTAAGACATTTCGGTACCTGTAAACTGACTTTTTTTCGAAGAACCATTCAAAATATGCAAACGCATGATCTATCATAATTATTATATTATATATGAATACAAGATAAAATAATTTTTGATTCGCCATAATATTTATGTATTAAGTAACTCAAATGCGAATAATAATATAGGTACTAACAAATGTACTATTTTTTTTAATACATTCGCCAAATAATAATACAATATTTTAATCGTCGATAGATGAAATATTTTTTCATTTGAAATACACTTTATACATATTATTGGTACTATCGTACACGTTGAATCGATTTTGGTTACCATTTTTTTTTTCTTCAAATAATACCAAAACTATATTTTTTCGAATAACAAACCTATATAGGAACGCTAATACCTATATAGTTGTGTGCGGTTAACCGCCAGCGGAATCGTTCTTATGTATTTTCAATCAGTCTTACTCTACTGATGTTGTTGAAAAAAATAATAAAACATACATTATATACCAACATCTTGTTTGTTACACTATATATTATTATGTTCTCAACCAATTACAAAGTATACTCGGCAAGTCCACAAACCAACACGTATAATAGGTATTTGTCAATGTATAATATAAATAAGTGCATTAACTATTCCAAGTAATTTCTCGAAATTTTATTCGAAAATATTATATTTAACAATAAAAAAACGATAAAAAAACTTCACACGATTAATATAGTTCATTATCAGCGCGTTCGACTCTTCAACACCGCTCGGATTAAATACAACGCTATAATTATAATTTGTATTTAGATCAATGAAACTGCGCCGTTACAATAAAATCCTATTATAAAACCCGATTATAATACGTATTAAATAAGAATCGGCTGTCTATTAAGTAAACGTTTTAACGTTTTATGGATCTGGTGGAAGAATGGGCTTTATATTATTATCCCATTGAATGTAGCGTAAAACAAAAAATTATTTAGAATGGAATTTTTCTAGAACTCTTGCCATTCTATTTTAGACAAGATTTACTGTATATTTATAACGATTGGCGATTTTATGTGTTTTATATATAGAGGGCCAGAAAAAAGCGCAATACGAAGAATGCGAGGAAGAAAAAAAAAAAAACATCGAGAAGATTCAAATATTAAAACGCGATATAAAACAAATACACCAAATAAAAAGACAGGAATCCACGGTGGGTTCCTATGTATTATGTACTTTATATTTTACGAAAACATAAGTAAATATAACGTATATGTTTTTTTTATTCGTTTACAGTGCGTAGACGCGTTGCCAGATACTAAAACAGACCAACAAATTACAGTTTTAAAAAGAAAAAAATATCACGAAGCGTTAGATATTTTGGATATGAAATTGATCGACATAAAGAAAAAAACCGATCTAATTAGACATGATATCAAACAGGTAATATTTATACGCATATATAATAACCTGTTGTAACCTAGATCAATTTTATGCGTTTCTTGACTGCTGCACGGTTTGGTAATATAATACATAGAAAAGAATCAAGTTGAACGACTTGTTTGGAAGATGGAGCGACATGCGGTCAAAGGTTAATTCTATCGTAGACAAGGATTCAAATACAGTTAAGGTAGTATGAGATATTCGCGATTTACGCGTCTAAATTAATTTTTGTTACATTTTCCAATATTTATAGACACTATCGGCACTCGAAAATCGATCTCATCAGATAGAAATGAGCCGAATGGAAGCGTCACACGTGACGCGCAAATACAGGTCCATTAGAAGTCGGCTTTTGGAGGATTCGGTGGTATTCGACTCTACTCTGGACAAGTTGGAAAAAACGATAAAAATACAACAACGTGAAATTCAACGATTGGAAGTATTTAAAAATCGTATCTGTCTATAAATGTCTATACTTAATTTCAATATCGTTAAAATTATTTTATTAAGAAAATTAACGAAGAAGCCATTAAGTCGAGGGACAAGACCCGATTTGTGTTACAAAAAAAAGAAACAAACGCGACTAACATAGCGAAATTCCGTATGAAACAAGTAGAACAAATCCGGTAAGTTAAAATATCGTATACCTAGTGATAGTGGCTATAATATCACAATAACATCTATGTCTACATCTAAATGTGCGTGTGTAATCACTTTGTTTACCTCTATATACGTCATATTGTTATTATTTGTGTAGAGCTCAAGTTGAAGAGAGAAAAATGGAACTGGAAAAGCTGGAAAGAAAGATATTTCCCCTGGGGCAGAGAGCTACGCACCAAGATTCAATTCCCAGTTCTTCGGAAGAACAGCGGTTAGGAGATAATGGTTCGTCGGACAGTCAAGAGATTTCTGACACGCCGTATTTTAAACTGAAACAAGTCACCGGTAATGATGTCATAAATAAAACTATATACGCTTATCGGCCTATTGTTACATGATGGAGAAATATGCGGTTATAACACTACCGAACAATATTAATATTTTTAATTTAATTTATATTAATATATATTATATGTATCTACTTTTGTGTTCGATTAAAATAATGGTACATAAACTTTTAATAACAATAATAATGTTTACTTGAGTAAAAATATACGATACAGGCTCAATCGATAGCGAAGACGTACGGAGAAAGTTTGTAGCGCAGAAGGAGACCAAAAACCGACTGACTACTCTGAAAACCACCACCGAGAAACAAAAAAAAGACCTTCAACTTAAATGCCAGCAACTCAACGACGAGTTCGAACAATGCCGATTTTCCGACGCCCAGGACAAAGAACAGTACGTTAAAGTGTAATATATTTTACTAAAACCTCTTGAGATCACAATATATAATTATGTACCCTCCAGCATCGATTCAAAACCGTCTGTTAAAAATCTGTCTGTACAATAAAATTAAACAAATACATATACCTGCACTCAAAATTTGAAAGTCACTCTCGAAGACCAACAAAAATAATATATTATGTGGAGACCGAAAAATTACATTTCTGCATATAGTTTTAAAAAAACCTATATTCATTCTAATTGTTTCAGATAACTGTTAAATTAATATTTGAAGAATTTTAAAAAAAATAAAAAACAATATTAAGGTCATTATTCTTTGGCTATAAATAATGCTTCGTGTGGAGCGAGAATAATTTTATACTCTCGTCGATCAACCGAAAACTAGCTATACATTTCGTACTGTTTAAATAAACTAATAATAATATATCTTCTAACAATTATTATATAATACAGGAACGACGAAGAAACGGAAAATCTCAAGATGAAAATTATCGAAGAGACCAACAAGCTTGCGCGTTTAGAAAAAGAACGGTCCGAATTATCGAATCAAATCGACTCGACGCTGTTCAGACTGTACGATATGTGCCTGGCGTTAAAGGAAGCAGACAGCGCGCCAGTACCGGACAAATGTCCGAGTATCGACAAAGCGGATTGGTTGATATGTCTGTTGCAGACTAAATACCAAAACATAACGAGAAGTCACAGCGTGCCGGATAAAGACAATCGTAGTGAAACGAAGGGAAATATTAAAAGCAATGTGCGTCGCCGATTTAACATCTGTGATACAAACCCTGTGGCTTGGTGCTATGTCATAACAAAACAAATTGCTTTTAAAATTAAATAATTACATTTTAAACTTAGCCCACGTCAAAAAATTTAATTTAGTCATCAAATCACCAAAAATATAACGTAAAGTCCATAATTATTGTGATATATTTCTTCTTCTCCTCCGCCTTCATCCCAACTATTTGGGATCGGCCACTCTCGTCCTAAAATTCCACTTAAATCGTTCCCCCATATCATCCTTGCATATACCCGCCATCCTCATATCATTTTCAATCACATCCAACCGCCTTTTGTGCGATCTTCTTCTCCCTCTCTTTCCTCCTACGTATACTTTCGTTACAATTCTTACTACTTCTTATTCGTCTTTCCTCAAGACATACCCAAACCATTTCAATCTATTTCCTCTCATCTCTTTTGTCCGCTATTGAAGCCACACCTAAGGTAGATTCATTCTTAAGTCTCATTTGAATCCTATTGTCACCTAGCGATTCTCTCTACTTATAATCTTGTGTTTCAGATCCTCGTCAAAATCAACGGTTTTTTTCAAACAAAAAATCCTAAGTACTTAAAAGCTCTCAATTTCACCAATTAATAAATAATTGTCACATAATTATTTTAATATATTTGTAAAAAAATTGCAATGACCCATTTGGCATTTTTGGCACCAAGCATCATAATTATATACGCACGTCTGAATTATAAAGAAATATTTGCATTGTTATATTATTTCAGGATGTGGCAACGCTGTGGTCATTAGACGACGATGTTGTGGAGCCGGCGAACAAAGACCAGGAGGAAAAACCCATTCCGAATAGATATTTCATCAAGAAACAAGCGCAAATAGTGGTCGATTCGAAGATTAAAGGGAAAAAAGGGATTAAAGCGCCGAAAGGTGCGATCCAGAGAATTTGATCAATTATATCATAATTGGTTCCCGGGAAGAAGTTTAAGAATAATTTCCCCTTCTATTTTTTTTTTTTTTTTTGTTGTCTAAATTGCATAAGTGTATACATTTTAAAAACTAGTATATGCAGTGCATGGATAGTATTAGTGTATTATCAGTTTATGTACAACTGTATAGGTATTTTCAAAATGTAATTTACACGCATACAAAACTATGCGAAATTGACTTGAGCCTTTTCTTCTCCGGTACCAAATATATATCCGTATGTACATTATCACTACGGATTTAGATCCATAGTATATTTTTAGTTGATTTTAAAAAAAAAATAAATTATTATAAAGTAATTTACGAGAATATATTATTATGAATTAATTGAATTAACTATTCATTAATCCACGAAACATTTGCCTGGGTCAAAAATTATAGTATCAAAAAAAAAAGAGCAGATACTGGGGATAGGAGCAGCCACTGTTGTAGGTGAAAAGTTGGGAAGGTAGGATACATAAGGTTATTTCATTTATATCTGTAAGTAACGATAAACCATTGCTTGACGAAAGACGATTCCGAACGCAGTTCGGTAATACATAATTTGAAATGCCGTAATTTTTTTTGCGATTTTATTTCAAAACGTTTATTAAAAAAAAAAAAGTCGTCCGATGATTTTGGAAATTTTACCACGTCTAGGTAAGTACAATGTTATTAATATAATATTATATAATTAATGTTATTACCAAGTTTCAAATCTCTACGTGTATTTATAACCGAACTACAACAAAAAACTCCCAAAAATTAAAATTCCTTAAAAGCTCAAAAGTTCGATTAAATCATTTTTTCTGGTAGAAAACATCGTCCGTGTTTTTATAAAATAATAAAATTGTGAAATTGTACGTTTCCCTACGTTTTTACCCACTTAAGTGCATTTATTTAAAAAATGGCGTCGAATATCAAAAAACCTCTTTAAAGTACAACTTGAGCTTTCAGAAAAGTTGCCATTCGTAAAAATCGGAGCAAGTTTACTATAAAAAACGAGTCCGCAGACTAGAAAAAAATAATAATAACTAAACATCTTAGTAAAACCGACAGTTCCCTCGCTACGCTCGGAATCTAAAATAAAAATTTATCAATGTGCAATTTCATCAACACGCACGGATCTTCAAGGCCCAACGTTGCCGCCACAAAATGTCTCCGCTAATATTAATTAGATAATAATAAGGACAATTTATACATCTGCTTTTAGATTGGCTATTTCATTTGCCGACGTCGGTTCGAGGGTCCAATTTAACTGATTTTCTCAGTGATTGACTAAACGCGCGCGAGTTAAACGTCACAATATTATTGTATTTATTCTGTACGACATTCCATTCTACGACAAACATAGATAATATCGTAACCAAACGATAACCGCAAGTTAGGTTATACTATTATTATGTCTACTTGTACGTACCACTTATTACCGGATAATCGAGAAAGTATAGTATTATTATGATGCCATATTACGGACCTATAAACCCAATATAGTATAGTATTACAGTAAAAACCCGGTTTGATAATATAGGTATTCTAGGTATACGCCATTGTTGGTAATGTTTTGTTGTTCTTATATTAGTTATATTCACTTGATATATTCGACACAAACGAGAATACAATTTTTAATAAAATCTATAACATCGACTAACGAAATTGCTAAGAGAAACAAATCGGTTTAAACGCATGTCTACACATTTGGAATATTTTGACAGGACACACAGTTTCCTCGCAAACTCATCAAGGTGTATCAATAAAAAGATTCGGAGCGTATAACGAAGAATGTATTGGTTTTACAATGATGTTTATTTTTTGTATATATATATATCTGCAGTGAACTACTACTTTTCTACAAGAAATCTTGCTCCGGTTTTCAAGTTTAGTAGTTTTTCTGAACGGAAATTTTATCTGGATGGTCATTTTTTGATTTTTCAAGCGGCTTTCATAATAATTGAGAAAAACTGGGGAAAATAGGAAAATGTAAGTGCATGTGTAAAAGAAACTTCGCTCCCTATCGTTTTTCCGGTTTTTCGATAGCAATAGTTTATCGAACCAATATAAAATAAATTCTCCTCTAAATCAGACCTTTCCAACTTCTCACCAACAACAATAGCCCACCCATTGTGCGAAGTATGTCCGTTTGTTTCGTATCTACTCGTGATAACTAAAAACTTGGGATAAGTACCTAATGAAAATTATTTATATACTGGTCAACTATAGCAATTTGTAGGTCCCTACAAATTTTTTTCTCTCCGCAATTTCGTAATGTTATTTCTTATTGATTTTATTAAAAACTGAATACCTAGTCGTTTATACAGTACCAACTGGATTTTTTAGCTGATAGTTGCGTAGCTATTACTAAAACACAATATAATATAATATTTGAATAAACCGTATTTTAAATTCTGAACGTACCGTGGAATATATTGGTTTTACAATATGTGTGCTTTTTTTGTGTGACAACTTTTATATCAGATATCTTGCTACTATTAACTTCAAGGGTGGTTTCTAGTAGCAAAACGTGCCTAACCGGTGCACTTAGGAAGTCGTTTTTTGATATATTCCTTATAATTTTCAGAGTAATGGAGGAAAACGGTAAAGTGTACACAATACCTACCGGTTTTTGTTGTTGTGTTGTTAATTTTGTAATTCAGTTAGAAATAATCGTGAACTTTTGTTTCAATCAATATTTTAACATTTTTTTATTTTGTATAATGATTACGATTTTTTTCACAAAATCCAAGATATCTTAGAATACATTTATTTTTAAACAATGTTTTGGCGTTAGAAAAATGTCAACTAATTATTTATCAAAATTAAAAATAAATAAATTGACAAGTTATTATTTTATAGTTTGTACAGCGTTACCTTTTGGGCCAGTTTTATATCTCATAAAACCGAGCGAGTGATCAAAAGTCCATGGATTAATTTCAGTAAGGTAGGTACTTTGCAGGATTTCAGAATTATACATATTAAATATTGTCTACCTAACGAAAAAATGAAAACAAATTCTAAACAATTTTACTAATCCTAAAAAAGTTTTCAAAAATATATTTTCAACGGGTAACAACACGTCGTTGTTAAGCCTAGTTAGAAATTAAAACACAAACTTTCTAAATAATATTAATTACAATAAATACCTAGGTACCCATGCGTCAGTCATTTATGGGATTTTCGCTATTATCGAATTAATATGCATAAATTAAACAAACACGTAACTCAGAAAGAAACGTAGCCTGAAGTATTACATTATTATTATTATTATTATAGGTACCCTTTTGTGTTTGTTATACACTATACGACCGGTTTCGATTTTTGAAAATAATAGTGTAGGTAACAAAGTAGAAAATTACCCTCCAAAACATTATATATATATATATATATATATTTATTTTTTTATTAATACCACTTATAAGTTGATTGGGTTGATTTTGATTTTTAGTTTTTACACTCGTGTAAATTTGCAACACGCACATTGTGTACATATTACTGACAAGTTGACAACCGTACTACACTTACGAAACTAAAACAGGATCTCAATGATATGGAAACTTTGCTTCGGGGTTTACTTGTTCAATAAAATCACGCGGTATACATATCCGACACTATATTATTACATTATTTCGAAACTTCTATGTTTGTTTGGACTAAATATATATATATATATAATATTATGCAAAAATTAGAAATTATCACACGACCTCTAAAACAAAAACTTAAGTATGCGAAAATATTGCTAATAATTATGTACACTATGTATTCTTCATCAAGGAAAGTGAGGATAAGTAAATTGAAAAATCTAGAACTAAAAAAAATAAATTAAAAACACCAATAAACATCAATAGAAAGAAGACGTCCTAGGATAATGAAATTACAACAAAAAACAATATCGGAATTAATAAAAACCGCTATTGCGTTAAAAAAAATGGTTTCTCTAAGAAAAATTGCAGAATTTATGATCACAGGACCACAGTAAGATATCAGGCAGTTGCGTATTTTAGATTTTCTCTAGAGGACAGACGACGATAATTTTAGTTTGTAGATGCACTATGCTCCCCTAGCATCTTACTTAACAAGTGTTTTTTTTTTTTTTCAAATTTACAAAATACTTTAGTACAAACATTAAAAAACAATTATTAATTTGTATTAGGTATATAAGGTATATTAGGTACCTGTACGAGTTGAGTTTGAGAAAACACGAGTTTTTTTGGGAGTTGTTATAATAAGGTACGAATGATTTTCATTTGTATCATCACGTATAAGGGCCGCAGTCTAGAAATGTTCACACGGGCCCCTTATTATCACATTGCGCCACTGAGTATTGAACGGCCATTATCCTCTGAGCTTTTGATCTTCACGCGATGTTTTAACACGTCCGATTAGTTGTATGATGACGCACGGAATTATTTAATTAATAGTAGCCTTTACGTTAACACTATTGCGAATTCTTAAAAAACTGTGAAACATAAACTGTGCGAAAATGATAATATTAGACAATTAGTATACTCTCGGAGTATAGCAGAAACTACGAGCATTGATTTATCGTTGTCGTACTCTACATAAAACTACCAAATCATAGAGTAGTATACTAACTGTTTAAAGAATACAACTCTACGGGTTACACCGTGTACGGTAGTTGATATTACTTTTAATTGATAAGACGTGATTAATTTACCACGGTGACCGCGCATTTTACGTTATTTACCATAAATTTTAAAATCACGTACCTACTTGTTATTAATTAGTTGATAGGTAATTTAAAATTATCGATATTAATAATAATATACCTACCTATGCATAAAAAAAAAAAGGCATGGGGTCTATCCTCATGATCCTCCCTCGTAAATAGGTACGTCACTGATTTCTGGTAGAAAACTGATTGGACGGTCAGAAAAGAATAACTATAATAATAATATAATACAGGTTTTCGGGTACCTACACTCGTCATAGTAAAATACTGTATTTTAAATATATTCTTTTATCGCTATCCACGTTTAGAATTTAAAGGATTTAGCAAGTGGTAAACTTTACTGTAGAAAACAACAGGGAAAAAAAATTGTAATTTAATATTATCGTGCAAGGACATTTTGCTTTCATTATGTATTGGTACCTAATACATAGGTACCTAATACATAGGTACCTACTTGCCTAACTATAAGCTATCGTATTAACTGACAAATTACTTACATTTCCTTTCAAGAGTCGACCAAATTTTTTTTCATTTATTTATTTAATTATTTATTCATATTAACCACTTTATCCACTTGAGGTATGTTTGCATAAATTAAAATATAGCATGCCTTTATTGTAATTCAAGGTTTAGTCACCATTTACAAAAATCTATACTAAATCACAATCTTCTTTATTTAAAAACATTATATTCACATTCTATTATATTATTGGTACTCAGTATTATTTTAAAAAAATTCATAATTATCAAAAAAAGTTAATCAATTATTTTTTTTTTTTTACCAATCTGTGTATAGATAAGATCTGAAAGCACACAATTTGAATAATCATTTGCTAGACAAATTGGTTTTTTTCATATAAATAATTATTACCTAAGTATTTTATCTGTAGCATCAAAATTTTAAATTATTATGGTTTTAGTTTCATTAAAATTACCTATAATATAAGGTCAAACAAATTTATTTAATTACCTATATCAATATAGGTAAGAATTGATAGTATATACACATATATATGTATAATATGAATATGTTTTTACAAATTTAATTTATGAATTTACAAATACAGAATCTACATTAAATTTTAAAATTATAAATGAATATATTGAAACAAATCTAAAGATACAAAATTGTAGAAATAAAATATTTAACTAAATATCAAAATTAATATTTTGTTATACTAATTTATTATATAAAACAAAATGTATAATATAAATTATAATAGAAACAAAATAATTGAGATTCAGGTGCAAACCTATAAGAACAATTTAAGATAACAGATAATCATTAACAAAATTATGTTACACAAATAAATAATTGTCAATCAAACATTTGAATACTACAAATTATTGATATGTATTGTTTTTTTTTAAACAATGAATTTTGTACATAACACTATTTATTTAATCTTATTATTTACTATTGCATTTTTAGTTCAAACGTTAAATGGTATTAATATATATAGCATTGGCACAACCAGGATTTTTTTTTTTTGGTAGGAGGGGCAAATCTCATATAATTTTTTTAACAATACACAATGGTTTAAATAAAAAAACAACCAGTATAATTTGTATTAATAATTGTTGCTAAACCTAATTTTAAGATGAGATTAAATCTCATACTGATACAGAGCAATCCTGATACTGAGAATAATAAATTGCTACAATTTATTGTAAAATAAATGTGTACATATTTTTCTTTTTGAAGTATTGTAGATATTGTATTGCAATTAGTATCATTACTAAAATACCTATACACGATTTGATATGATATATTTTTAAAAATTGTAACAAAAGTAATAGATACCAATTTGAAATTGAAATATCACTGTTTCAATCGCACAAATTTCAAAAATATCAATAGGTACATTTAAAATAATGTAAATATTTTTAACACAATGCTTAGATATAAAGTGGAAAACTTGAATAATTATTGAATATGAAATGTATTTGCATTAGGTTATATTAAAAATACACACAATGACATAAAAAATATATAAATATACATATTTATATACTAGAAAAAAACAAATACCTTTTTTAGTTTTTAATATTCCACTGAAACAAAAATTCTTTAAAACTTAAAAATGTTGAAAAAAAATATATTTGTATTTTTATATATAAATATATAATGTTAAATAAATACAAATTATCACACGAAAAGATTTACAGGGTCCTAAAAAGTATCATCTGTCATAAAAACAGCACAACAAATTTTAAATTGATTATATAAAATTAAGATTGAACAAAAAAATATAATTTGTTCTAAAATATATAAATCGGAAATGCAGACTTAATTAAACAAACATAATTATAAAAAAATGATAAATGCAGTAGGTATACATTATTTAAATTAATATCAAGTTTGGGTTACTTCACTTCATAAGTACTACGTACAATTTGGAATACTAAATCAATATTTTTTCTTTTATTGAAAAATAATAATTATAGGAACATGTATATTTATGTCAAAGAAAATTAGTAGAATGTTAAAAAATAATTATTTCAGGTAGCCAAAAAACTAAAACCAAAAATTTAAAGCCTAAATGTTATAATTATCAGTCATCTTAATGGCAGTGATAATTTACGTACATACAAAATAATCATTGATAATTTTATATAAAAGAAAATTGGCTGGATGAATAAAAATATTTTTTAGTAATCACTTTTATTTGTATTTGTACTTTAATTAAAAACTGTAATATAAAAATATATATGTATATATTATAATATATACCTATATTAATTATAATAGAATGAGCTTAATACATATGGCAACAAATTGTACTCTCTTTTTATATAATTGTTTACCAAGATTATTCAATAAAGAAAAATATCGAAAAAATATTTTTTAATATTTTACATAGGAATATTTTTTTGAAAATTGGTGAAAATATTAATTTGAAGTTTTCCAAAATGATAATATTATAGAAATTGAAACATATACATGTAAAATGCATAACAACAAAAAAAAAAAAAGCACTAAAGAAAATGTTTACGAGATCTACATGTTTTAAAACCCTTAGAATGTCAGAACAAATACTTAGTACATATTTTAAAATACCCATAATATTAATATAACTTATTTTTAAGTTTTCAAACGCTATGACTTTAAAACCATTACCAAAAATAATCATTTTCAATACGATTTGGACACTTGAGTTTTCAGTCTTCACGCAGACAATTCTGTTTTTAATAAAATTAAAAATAATATTTATGTAGGTAAAAATGATATTTAATTTATCTACTCGATACTAAAGAAGAACCCATTAAGTATAGGTAAAAAAACAATTTTATTCCATTCCTAAATTGTAAATAAATTTGTCTAATGTTATAATTTATCTTATAATTACATGAACCAATATTTTGATAGTGAATTTAGATTTAACTAATGCTTAAATATTAAATCAAGTCAACTTTTATATGAAACATTTTTTAAAACTTATATAAAAAAAATTTAAGAAAAAAAACCTAAGGGGATGGGTTGAGGACTGGTAAAATGTGAAATGGTAATTACACCCAAAAATTACCAAAACAGCTAATGCGCCAATATCACTAAACTATAAATATGAACACAATTTACGTTACAAAAAAAAAAAATTATTTACATACAAATTGTTCTTTTTTTACACCCGCTTGAGTACACCCAACAAAAAGTTAAAACTTAAACCATGTGCGACCATAAACATTCACTAACTTATGAAAGTAATTAATAAGTAGTAGGAAATTATTATAGGTGTTTCACTAGTGACAAATGCCATAACATTTTAACAAAGCCATCATTTTTAATAACAATATCCAAAACATATTTTGCAAGAATTGACTACAATAAAACGTTTGGATAGTGTATTAATGGCCTATAACTGAGCCAAGTCAAATGCAACAAATGTTTGTAAATAGGAATCATTATTGTGTCAACTAATTACTGTCAACATTCCGTCAAAAAAATAATATTGAGTACAATAGATATAAATTGAATAAAACTCTACAATAGCAATAGGAAATTAAGAATTAAATCAGGAACGTTGATAATAACAGTAGACAACCTAATTTTTAGTAATGTGTAGAATTTTTAGGCCAAAACATTTTCACTATAACCATCAAAATCCTTGAGGATGAAATGATCTAAAATTCCTCTTTTCGGGAAATTAAAAATTAAAAGTTGTTCTCAATTACAGTTGTTTTTCCCTTGTTTTTTTTTTATAGAATACACTAATCCCAACTAATTAAAAATTCTTCTGATCCATCCGGGTTAGTTCTTTTACACATAATTTTATAGTCTTCTCCATTAGCGATTCTATTGCTAGCTCCAAAATAAGAATGTACAAGAGTTTTAAGATCAGCTGTAGAGTCAACATTATTATCAGGCGAACAAGGCCTATTCACAGAGTGACCATGATTAGCGAAAAAATCTGAATATGATTTATACATTGTACGGCCATTACAATTGGATTTCGACTGGCGTTTTGTAGGAGTTAAGCCACTATTTTGTAAACCATTACGACGTAATCGTTTACGCTTTACTAAATATTGTCCATTACGATCAACACGCAAATCTTTTTCACTCAAACGTCGCTTAGTTGTGCGGACTTGTGGTCGAGAAATTACTGGTGCTAAAGAGAGTGGCAAAGTAATTGATGAAGCAGAACGTGTCTCACGTGGAAGTGACGATCTAGCCAATGGTCGCCCATTTAATAAGCGATTGACACTTAATCTTTGACTACGGCGGCTTTGAAGATCTGTTGTGCGAGACGAATCAGCATCATCTTCATCGTCCAGGTCTTCATCGACATCATCTACATCATCTTCACTTGACAATTCTTCTTCACTTGCAGACCCATATTTTTCTGGAGTACTTTCAGTTGATCGTGATGGTGATCGACTTTCAGGAACTTTTTCTTTTTTTGTTGCAGTTTTCTAAAATGTTTAAAAGTAAATAAATCAAATTCTATTGATTTGAAATCAGGGCAAGCACTTACTTTAACTTTGTTAGTAGTAACACTCGAACTTCGAGAACCTCTTTTATTTAGTTCCTGATCCCTGATCCGTCTTTCAATGACAGGTCTTGGAGCAGGTACAATTGGGCTCGCACTTTTGATACATACCTATACAAAGAAATACAAACTTAGTACATACATACACAAAAAATTATAAAAACATAGTGATAAAACAAATTATATCCAAAGTATATTACCAAGAAAATGCTTTAATACACAAAAATGACTACTTTAATTTAATATTATAAATATTATACATTATTGTGTAATATAAACAAGAATACTCATTATTTACATTATGTGCTGATGGAAGGCGTTTTGGTAACATAACAACATGTGAATCTTGATGTAGAAATTTTAATCCTTCCACTGAATACATTGATTCAGTAAGTTGTTGATTTATTACAAGATCAGTCCTAGAATTTTATCATTGAGTTTAGAAAAGTAAAAGTTTATCAAATGTGTAAAGAGATGAATATTTTAATTTGATAACAAATTATAATTATTTACTTTCTCTGTAGACATTTTTAGGATATTTAGGATACTAATAGACTTTAAGAAATTTAAATTTATTACTTTTTTGGTGGTGGTAATATATTGAGGTTAAGTTTATTGCGCAATTGGTGGTGCATAATATTCTCATTAATTGGAATTTGTGCGGGTAACGAAAACCGTGGGGGTTTCGGTGGCGACTTCAGTCGGAGTCCCCACATGTTGGTGGGTTTTTTACCCTGGAATTCGAACCTACTGTAATAGAAATAAGCACAATACAATATTTAATACAAATAAAACAAAATATACACAAGTTTACACTAAATATTTATATTTCAAATTAAAATGCACTACAAAATACTTACTGCTTGGTGTCTTTGAGCAGGGCATTGACAACATATACTTTCCTGTCATCAACAGGAACATCAAGAATCTGTAATCAAATTTAACACTTATACAAATTATTTTATATAAATGAAACATGATTATGTAATTTAATGAAAATGACTACTATACACTGACCAATTTTGAAAAAAAAAGTTATTGTAAACCTTTACATAAAAATAACATACTTTAGGAGGTAAATACATTGAAGTCCAATGATTATCTAAGTACGGAAGTATGTTTATGTCCACATCATAATATTTCTGTGGTTTAAAAGCAATCATATTAAAGAGGACAAGATGAACTAAATCTGACCATTCCAATTCAATACGGCGTACAAACTCTGTACCTAAATTGCACACTGAACACAGAAAAATATAAAATCTGAAAAAAAAAAATAAAAACAGAAATTAGACAAATCTGAAAACAATATATACTAAACAAACTATACATCAAACTGATATTATTATTGCAATCATAACAAATAAACCACAAAAAATAAATAAATAAATACATGTATATTATTATATACCTGTCGCCAAGGTACAAAGGATATATTAACGAAGTAACACATTTTTCATGAAACCACTGTAAACATTTACAACATTGCAACATTTTTATAAACCAATCACCAGGCCCTCCACAATAACAGTAGGTTCCTAAATTGTTGATACGATGGTGAATATCCCATTGAAGAGAATTCAACTGGAAAATTAATTTGAAAATTAATATTATCAAATATACATTTGTCTAAATTAAATATCTAATATCTTACATCATAGGGCAATTTAATTATTTTTGGAACAATTTTTGGAGCAACTGTACTTGATATAGAATTTATAGCTTCCAGTCTATTAATCTGTTGTTTTACTTTACACGAGAAACACATCCAAATAGAAATATCCGAAACTGTAACTTCGGGCTGATAACAAATTTAAGTTAATTTAAATAAATATGTGATATGAATGACCAATTGTAACCAATTTCAATAATGCAATAATACTATACATTTCATTAGTCAATAAATAGACAAAATATAAATACATAAGTATAATATTATATTTTATTATATGTATAATTAAGATATATTAAATATTATACATATTTAAAGAATAAAAATAAAAGGTAAAATACTTAGTATAATTATATTACAAAAAAGCTGTCCTAGGATAATGAGGACAGGTGCAGCCAACTGTTATAGGTAATTCAATGTATACCTGTAAGCAACGATAAACCATTGCTAATGAAAAAATTATTCTGAGCGGAGTTCAGTTGATAGTGATGTTTTGTCAACAATATATGTCATATTATGGAAAAATAATTAAATAAGCATTGTATATTTGTTTTTAATAATATTCATATAATGTACCGATTTTCTAGTTTTTCACATTTTCTGGAAAAACTCTTAGGAAAATAAAAAAATTACCTCCAAAAAGTACTTTCCCAGTCAAATTTCCTTTTAGAAAAAGTACTATCATTGGAAATTGGACTAAAATTGTTTGTAGAAAAGTTGTCCACCGAAAATAAAAAATAAAAACATCTTTATAAAACCATAAGCATTTTCACTCCATTCAGAATTTAAAACTAACAACTAGATAGAACATATAAAAGAATAAAAGTAACTCTGAAATCTAAAATAACAAAAATAGAAATCAATTTCACAAAAGCTTTGTCATGTAGTGAACAGAAATTCATTATAGATTTATATAAGATAATAGCTCTGTTAATTCAAAATTTAAAGAGATATTCTTCACAATATTAAATTTAAGTAGAATATAGATTTTAGATTATCATCAACAAAATATACTGCTAGGAAACTAATTATTAATAAGCGATAAATACAATTTTAGGTTTTTGTCAAAATCACTGTTGTGTGATATAATATTGTGTCATATTGTTGGTAGTTTTGGAATTATTGCTTAACTAACATTCCAGTTAAATTTTTTTTAGCTTCTGACCAAAACAAGGATTGTAATGTTTTTTTTAATTAGATTCTGAACAAAGCAAATAATGTATTAGTTTTTAAATTTTTATTTTCTTTCTATAACTAAATATTCTCCAATCATCATCTAATATGGATTTAGGTAGCAAATTTTTTCCATTTGGTGTATAGGCAAGAGTTTTTTTTTTATTTTCTTTGTACTCTACTTAATGAGAAAAACCAGAAAAAAAAGTATTTATACAATAACAGTTTCAGTTAATGATTTTTTTTTTTTTTTTTTTTTTGTGAACAAATTGTAGACACCTGTAATTTTCACAGAATACTTATATACTCTTACTTTCGAAATATTTAACCATTTGTTGAGTTATTTATAGTTTTATACATTTTCGTGTATTTTGGCTTTATATTGATACAATTATTTAAGCTTTACATAATTGCTTGACAATTGTATAAAAGATGTTTTGTAAATTATTCTTATGTTGGTATAAAAATATCAAACAATCATATTTAGTTATTTATGAAATTGGTTTTTTTTTATTTATAAAATAAATATAATCTATTAATTCTTTAATAGAATATTATACCAATAACAAATTTAGTTTACCTTGTGACATTTACGATGATATGCATTGGCACATTTGTCGCATACGCACATATCATCTGCCATAGTTTCTATATTGCACACATTGCAAAATTGAGATGCAGTACTTGTACACGTCATCCGCGTGACGTTTTTTAAGAACACCCATTTTACAGTATTATCACCAAATTTAATTAAGCATTTTGATTCTTTATATCTCAACTAAAAGTAAATATAAAATTTGATTATATATCAATTTGATATTGAAATTAAAATATTAATATTTACTTTAGCTATAAATCCTAGATAAAATCGTTCATCATTTAGATGAACCAATACTTCTTCTCCACAAATATAACTCTTGCTTTCAACAGTTGTACTATCAGGAGTAGGAGCCTCAGGGCTATCCCTTTTTTTCTAAAAAATAACAATAAAAACATTTTAAAGATTAATAAAATCTATTTTATATTTATTATTTTCTCCTTTAAGCTTTGAAGTGAAAGATATTTCAATATAAAAATTAATAATAATTGTCTAATAAATCATGGATTAGTGGTTATCATATACTACCTATAAAGTTAACTTTATGGTTAATATTAAGTAATTGAGTTTTCTAAAATTGCAATAACAAATGTTTGCCAAATTTAATATGTATAAATACAAATAAACATAATTAAATTAATAACTAGGTAATAAAAGTGCAAATATATAGTTAATTCTATTTTATGAACAAGCCATGTTATCATAATAATTAATTTTCTAACCAAATGTTAATACAGAGATAAAATTATTGTTTTAAATTTGTGTAGGTACATTGAATATTTTTATAATATTATTATTAAATTTGTCTATAATATTGTATTTTTGTTAGTTAGATTTGAATTTTGGAATAATTCATAGATATCAGCATAAAAATATTAATATAAAATCAATTTTTTTTTTTTTTTTTTTTAATCTCCTGAAATTTTTTATTGAGTAAAATTGATTTAATGACATTTAGATATATAATATTCAATAATCAATCAAATGAATTGTGATAAAACAATAAAATTATTCTCATTTTACATTGGTATAATACATTATGATATCCAACTGATAAAACACAGGAAAAAATATTACTTACGGCTTCTTTTTTAATCTGTAACATTTTGTCAGCTATGCATTTTCCAATTATCCTGAAAAAGAATTCATATTGTTTAAAAGCAATTACAAATTATCAAAAATAATAAAAAATAAAATATCCTAATCTGACAAGTACACAACATTTAAGTGATAATAACCAAAGTTATGATAGACTGACTGTGCTACTATCTAAGGCCGCAGTGATATCTAAACGTTACAAATAGTCCAAGAATTAGTGAAAAAATCACATAATACAACATTACACATTATTCATAGACTAGAAGACGAAGAGCCAAACATATCCGAATCGTTAACAGATACAATGTATACCGGTCGTTTGAGTGTCAAGTTAAAACACTGTGGTTTCTCAAGTCAGTACAATGGCAAGATCTATCCGAGAACAGTACTAACCCCGGAACAAACAATACCGTACCCACTGAATCTAAATTTCCTTGTCAGCACAGGGGACACCGCACTAAACCAGAAGGACACCCTATGCTGATGCTCGGGCCTGAAGACCTTCAGTCATTTCAGAGAGGTTTCAGAGCGTTTTCGGAAGAGTAACGACAGAAACATGTCATCTTCAGGCGGCCAGTCGGGACTTGGGAAATTACAGTCGCCTAGTAGGTGTGCACCCAAGAACACACGGGGGCACTAGACGCGTCTGATTAGCACAAGACGCAGGCTCTTAGGCCTTTTGGTTCCCCAAAAGTCCGGGCGCTGGTAACACCAAACTTACCATAAAAACTAAACGTCGACGACGGCTGCGGCGGCGGCGGCGGCTGCGGCAACAACGATCCAATACAATTTGTCGACGGTCCTTCGATTACATTGCTGACCGGACCGCTGTCCGCTGGGCTCGACGACTACGTTTGTGTTCATGGCCCTCGTCGGATCAGTGAACTGCGGCCGCCCCGGGTGGCACCACTGCGCCGTCGTCGTAGTCGCAGTCACCGCCGCTGCCGCTACACCGCCACCTGCCGTCCAATGTGTTATCAGTAGTCGTTGGTCGGGTGAGCCGCCGCGGCAATTTTCGTTATGAAATAATAATAATAACAATAACAATAATTAAAATAACATAACCGTGTACCTATTATTTTATTACTTACATATTATCGAGACGTGCGGTTTCGTTGATGTCGTCTACGGCCGGCGGGTCACGTACAAAGTGCCGGGTTGGCTAATTTGACTACGAATTAGCTATTTCTCCCGTGTGGCGTTTGATGTGCCCACTTATATTTTGCAATACTCATTGTCTAACGGATTGCTGTAGTAATATCTCTACTGTTGAAGACGACATTAGTTTATCGACGGAAATACGATTTATGAAACGATGTTTTCCCAGTCTGTAAAGCGTACATAATATGACTATTGATACCTACCCGCCAATAATAAAATAAATATCAAAATATCAAATATTGAATTATTATTTTTGTCTTGGTCTCTTCTCGGTAAACTGTAGTTCGGGGAATCCTGGACAAATTGAAAAACGTGTATATTATAGAAGATCATTAGGTAGGTATCATTTTACTGGTTTTGAGCAGAGTACTGTAATAAAGTTTACTATATTGATTAACCTATAAATTGTTTGTTAGATTAAGTTAATTTCGATTTCAAATCTTAACTTGCTATACAATTTATTAAATGCATTTTTTTAATATAAGTAGGTGAACTTCAACAAAATAATAATTAAAATCAAATATACTAATAACAATTCTAGGTGTTTTCCCCTGTAGGATAAATTTTTATTTTTGATTGGTTTTTCCACTTGGATTTCAAGTTCTGATTGCAGCAAGAAATATATTGGTTTTACTATTTTTTTTTCAACTGTTCACAACTGTGTACTAACAGAAATCTTGCTTCAGTTTTCAGGTGTACCATCTAATGGCAATATAAAATTAGGTATTGAAAATTCAACAGCGGTATTATATTTCCTGAAAACATGAAAAAAATAAAAAATAATAAAGACATTTTATTCTTGCAACATAGGTACCCATAGGGTTATAACAAAGTATAAATAAAAATAAATTAAAAACCCTTTAAAAATAGCAAAACAGCTGTTCCAATAAAATATCCAACGGATAAAACGTATTCTTTGACACGCTATACAAATATAACATTATAATGTATAATCGGTAGGTATATAGTTTATATTATACAATCTTAAAAAATGTGTTTAATAAAAAAATGTTGACACATTAATTTTGTCATAGAGAATTCAATTTTAATCGACTCAGCAATAATTCATAGATGCCTACTCATGCTCGGATTAAGGATTGAAAAGAGGCCTGAGGGCTCATATTAGTAAGGGGCCTTATTCTATTAAAATGAAACAAATAAGTAAAAACACTCTTGAAATAAGTTATTAGAAATAGGATATTTCAAATATTTGATTCAACTGGTAATATAAGTCAATAAAAACAATAATCATAATGTGGTCTTTATGGGCTCCAGGGACGTGCACCTCCCCCCCCCCTTTAATCCAGGCCTGTACTTACTGTTTATTTCTATTAAAATATTTATAAGTGTAATTATAAATTAATCACCTGCAGGTTAGGTAGCTAACCGATTCGTCATCTAATGTTAACCCTGAAATTTGCATTGTTTATATTATTGTAGATGATGTGTTCCAAAAAAACATTAAACATATTTTGGCAAACGTATTATCGTTGTTCAAACGATTTTTTTTTACCACGCTTATTTCTTTTTTTCGTCATTATTTCATCGAGTTGGACAGCTTACAGTTTTTATGTTTGACTTTTATTATTCACACCTAACAATAAAAAAGAACATAAATATAATATACTGTATGTCTTATTATGCTTCAAAACAAAAACGTCCAGGCCGCGTTGACTGTATGGCTCCACCTGTTGGACCAAATGGTAAGCACGATGTCGCGTTAGACTCCCCGAACTCGTTCCAATCCGTGTCGTCAATCCTCGACTGAATCCTCTTTCTCTCGAGGACGAAGAGATCTAGGGTTATAGGGTACCCTGTTACCTACTTGACGTGGCTTTGCTAACAAATAGGAGTTTATTTTCTGACATTAGCTAGAGTAACAATTATTGGTTGATAAATATATGTGGGCGTTCAAATTAGGGGTCGCTCATGTCGGCTTTTAATCGAAACAAACCCCCATCCCCATTTCGGGAGCATAATCAGAAAAACGAGATAACCGAATGGTACCAAATAGTGATTAATATACCATAATTATAATTACCTACTATAGTTGATTGAACGAAAAAACACCAGTCTTTTCGATTGTTTTGATATCCTGCAGGCGTTATAGAGTCATCATAATGGAACTTCTTCCGAGGATCCGATCGGCCGTCGAAAACAACGGAAACTCGTAGATATAAAGATATTGGCGGGTTTCGGGCAGTAATATTGTCTAAATAGTATATTATCAGCTTATCAATTGCTTCCGCGGTGGTTGTGGGCGCGGAGAACCGCGGTCTCAAGCGCAGATTGTATATAAGACCGTGGTATATGGGTACCTGGCCCCGAATAACCGCATTTAAAACGAATGTCTTATGCGTACCGAACGTCGCCTTGACGCGCCGTTTCAAATAATTATCGTTCAGTCTTTCGTCGCGCGCGTACGTTGTGCGATTTCGCGGATACGCCGTTCGTTTTTTCCCTCCCTTCCCCCCCCCCTATCCCCCGAACGTACGTACGGCAAAAGTTCGCGGAAAACCCGGATCCGCCATTTTGTATTCGATCGCGTACGTCGGTTCGGCCACCTCTACGCGTCTCGTCCGTTTTCGCGAAAACTCGGCGCGCACACCGGCGACAGACCCGCCGGTCTGATATCCGCCCGTTTCGTAAACACGCACAAAAGTGTGTTTGAAGACCCCGGTTCCAAGCCAGGTACGTCACAATGTATAAATAATAATTTTTCACTTCGTTTGCGATCCGATCTCGACGGCGCGCGGCGTTTGAAATCGTCGATAACACCGATTAGCCTGTGCAGTTTTAGGCGCTTTTAGTTTGGAATTGAGGCGGTGCGTCCAACACCTCCGAATGTCGGACGGGTAGATAAATATTGTCGGCGGTCCGTCTTATCGCGCGTTGTAGCCCGGATTCGAAAAATTGCCGATTTCATTGCGCGCGTCGCCGTCGGTGTATTTTACCGTTCCGTAACGTACACGGTTATTGTGCGTGTCACTGTCGCCAGGCCGCGAATGCGACCCCCCCCCCTCCTCCCTCCGGGTCGTTCATATTGTGTTCGGGAGCTCCTCGGGCTCCCGCGATTTATCGAAATATCGCCGGCGAATTGACCGCCGGCGCTGTGTTTTTTTTGTGCCCGGGTGTTGATAATAACATGCGCGGTATCGTTTAGACTCGGGTCGACTGTTGTATGTTATATTGCGACAGGTACCGTCGGTCAAAACCCAAATCGGTCGTCGGGTGTATTAATAAAAATGTACGCGCGAAATGACGACGAAAATCGGTTTTCGTGAGTAATGTGGCGTGTATTACACGAATCGTGTTAGGTGTCCGTACCTACATCATAATCCCAAAATCCCACCCGCGAAGTCCGTCGTTATTTTCGGAATCGATACGGTCGTCCGTCGACCGACGACACCGACATCCCCCTTCACCGGTTGCACGCCGATTTTCGCGGCTTTTGTATTTTTCGTCCGAAGGGGGCGACTGGAAGAAAAAAAAAAGCGAACCGGTGGCCTTCGGTACCGACATTGAGCATATGTGTATATAGAATAGGCACGCAGACGGTAAGTCACTAACGGAAATCCGTGCACAAATGTTTGGTGATGTGACAGGATATATTTAGTAATCGTCTATGGGACATCTTGGTAATCGCTGGGACAACCGCGGTATTAACCGGCGTACAAACCGTAGATAATAAAGAATGGATAGGCCGTTCCTACAGTTTCAACGTTCCTAGAGAGCGAATAATATATATGTCTACCTCACAATGTCGCCTTGTATCACAACGGTTACTGCGGTTAGTTGTTTGGTTGATACTTTTTATCATCATCCCTAATGTGATAATATTATATTATTATTTTGTTTATGTTGTTTATATTATTTTTAAAAAAACTGTTTTTATTTAGTATTACAGTGGTTCATCGTTGTCAGGATTTTCTAATATATTCTATATTAGAAAACCAATGATAGTTTTTAGGCAACATGGCCCATCCATTCTTTATTATCTATAGTACAAACTATCGATTAGTGATTTACCCTCCGATAATATCAACAGTGTTTTGTTAAAAGGGCGTCTATTAAATTTCACTTTTTTTCACGAAGCCAAAGAAAAACTGTATAACAAAAATAAGCAAAACGGTTTTTTTAATGATGTTTGGAAAACAATACCATTACTCGCACACATAATACTTTGTACACAAAGTATAAATGCATTGATTGTGGTGTACCTACGCCCTTTTAACACATCAGTGTCGATTTAATTATATTTTAAAAAGGCGCCTGGATATATTTTAATCGACATTACCAAATTAATTGTCTGTATTTAAACACGGCTTTTTACCAGTTTATGCTCCTAGTTTTTCCGATTTTTTTTTTGACACCAAAAACGTATTTTTCGATTTTTTGTGGTACACGACCTTTTAACAATACGCCATCGATAAACTCGCAGACGTAATTATTGAAACTTAGCATAACATTATAATGTCATTACGATCGCGACGCACTATACGACGACGGTCTCTTATATTATTGCCTTTTATGGAATTTAAACGGAACGACACATCAATAAAAATCGTTCCTATATGGATTTATTTCGCCAAGGTCCGGTCCGCACGACACGACTTAGTATATCGTTCTGAATTCGAATATAGACTGCAGCGTCGATTTAACGTCTCGTTGTTTCCTATATAATATCGGGAAATCCTATTAGTGTTTTTCATTTGGTATAACCATGTGAATTTGTTGCCGTA